GAAAAGCATCCCAGGAATCAGAACTCTGGAGTTTTTTTGCAGCTTTGTTCTAGATTTCCTCTAGTAATGCAAAACTATACACAGAATTGAAAGAGACATTAATACTCATTTTATTCCGACCCTACCTATTTTTAAAAAGATTTTATTTATTTCTTTTTAGAGAGAGATAGAGTGAAAACAGGGGGAGAAACAGAGGCAGAGGGAGAGAGAGAGAGAGAATCTCAAGCAGACTCTACACTGAGCATGGAGCCCAACATGACCCCAGGATCCCGAGATCCCAACCTGAACTGAAATCAAGAGTCGGGTGCTCAATCAACTGAGCTACTCAGGCATCCCCCAACCTTATCTTTTTAAAAAAATGAATAGAGACCTAGGGACCAGTGACAAAATACCTATGGCAACATGGTGTTTTAGGCGGAGTCTGATTCTAGAAACTTTGTCTCATGACTCCCCATCTTGTGAAACCTTTGCCACATTGTATGTAGCCCTTGGACTCCCTTTTCTCTTAGGCAAAACAGAACCATGTAGGGTGTGCTATCTTTCTCTCTCAAGAGTCACTGAGACCATGTCTGCAGTTTCTTGTTAGTTTTGGAGGAAGATAACCCCAAATATATATTAGCATAAAAATTCTAACAATGTGACTAACAAATAGCAAGCTCTCAGTAGCAGTGCTCACTTACTGAATGTACGCAAGCACTATATTGCTTCATTTTCTGTGGGTTCATTTATTTAATCATCCCAACAAACCTACAAAGTAGATGTTCAAACTAAGTTAATTTTGATAATGAGACAACAGAGGCTTAGGGAAGGTAAGTAGCTTCCTCTTTTGTGAAGTCACTTATAAAAGTGAAGCCTGCTTCTCAGAGTTGCCCTGAGAAAAACTATTCTTTCAGTCTAAAATATTCTTTTGTCTAAAATATTATTACTGCTTATTATGTTATCTTGTATAATTGTCTTGGAACAACCACCTTTAGTCCTTTGTACAACAATGAAAATGGAGACAGGATGGTGAAAGTATTTCCTGGCACCAGGTATTCATAGTAACACTAGCTTATGCTTCCATGATAAGCACAAAAATGTCAGCAACTCACTGCAACAGGTGTTTCTTTGTTGTTCATGTCATGGCCTGATGTTGGTCAGGCAGGTTTCCCAAAACACTCTTTTCTGAGGAGTGACTCAGCGATCCAACCTGCTTGCAACTCACAGCCAGCATCTGAAACACATGGCTCCCAAGTTCCCTGAAGCCAGGGAGAGAGGGTTGATAGATTGCATAGGGGAATTTAAAGAACCAGGCATGGAAGCAGCTTCTAGCACATGTGTCTCCACCCTGTCATCATATGACTTGAAGAGCAAAGAAGGCTGAGAAATGAAGAGGGAACACATAAATACTTGGTGAGTGATAATAGTTTCTATGCAGACTGTCCTTTGCTCACTGCTTCCCAACATAAGTTAATGCAATTAACCGATCCTGAAGAGAGACCAACCCAAAGTCCTATAAAGTCATTGCATCAAACTAAATGTCCAGGATCTCTGGGTGGCAAGTTGTCCTCTGTCAGGTGAGGACATAAATCTACTTTGTCCAGTAACCTCTGAACTAAAAAGACCAGTTATTTTCCCCTGACATAATATATCAAGTATGAAGAAGACAGGTGCTTGCAACCAACACCTTCACTCTTGGAGGGGAAGATGGTGCACCAGTGGCCAATGCCCTGTAGCAATCCTGCGGTCCTTCAGGCAGATGTTGTATAAGTCCTTCACCCTTGGTTAGGCTTGATTCTACAATCTGGGAAAGCTCTTTTGTCTTTTTGATCCTGGCTTCTGATTGCTTTTGTGAGATCCTTCCTTCTATGTTATTTCCTTTGGCCACCTCTGAAGTGGGTATAGAAGGGCCATGTTCTAGGAAGCTCTGTAGCCTTGGAAGATGGCTGGCTGCATCACAGAGCTTGGAGTTTGTTTTCATTTTGAATGATCAATGGCTTCTTGTTTCAGTGCAGGCTCATTCATGGTTTTATTGGCAGTATAGTCTAGTTCTCTTGAGAACTTAGCAGGCTTCTGATTCCTTTCCACACAGCCAATTCCATACATCTGTAGTCACAGCCCATTTCATTCTAGTTATACTTCTCAGATTATTTGTCCTGCCTTTTCCTCTCTCTTCCTCTTAATGAGGCTTGAAGTGGCAAGGTTAAAACTTCAAACTGATTTTTGCCCTAAGTCACTTCATCCAACTCACAGGTTGTTTTTTTTTTTCCTGAATTTTTATTACTGAAATCTTTTTACTTTTCTCCCCTTAAAATAAACCTTCTGTGAATGTTTGGGATCTACAAACGAATGGCTTTTCCAACAAATGCAAGTTTCTGAATTTGTGGACTATATTCCACTTCATTTTTACTTTAAAATGAGTCAATGCTTTCCTGAGTTTCTGTTTCTCTCAATACTCTGACCAGTGCAGACAAAAACAACCAATGCATTACTAATGCATATTTTTAAAACTCTCTCCTTGGAGCTACAATTTCAGCAGAGAGGATCCAACAGCTTTGACATTTTGTAACAAGATTCTCCATCATTTCAACCTGAGATAGTTTCCTCACCTCCTACTCCCAAATGTCTAATCAATACTACACATGTTAGGTTTCTATTAGCAACGCATGATCATGGTACCAATTCTATTAATTGGGTTAAGCTAGGCTCCCAACTTCAGTGGCTCAGCCTAACAAAGGATTATTGCTTTTGTGTGTCACAGAGCAGGGTAGGCCAAGTGGTTCTCCTCCACTGGCTTAAGGACATGGGTTGCCTCCATCTGAAGGCTGAGATTTTTAGAGCACATTGCCTCCAAGGTCAGCATGACAGAGGAAGAGAAGTCCAGAAGTATGAGCTGTTTTGGGGGATATGACTTAAATTATTTTGGTTCTCACCCACTTGGTTAGAATCCAGTCATATGGCCCCTAAACAAATGCAATGTGGGCTGGAAAATGTAGAAGAGCACATGAACACGTGGTGGGCATTTACTACTTCAGCTATTTCAAGGCTGGTGCATACCTACCAGCCAAATCTAGGAGGTGGGAAAGTTCAGACCAAAGGCATGCTTCATGTCTAAGCCAGAGGCATAAGTCAAGCTCAGAGACCACACTGATCTGAATGAGGACATCAGGGTGTACCCTGCTTCTGCAGACAGGGCTTGGAACCAGTTAAAAAGATGGAAGGGGCACCTTGCCCTCTCAACACTCTGTATTAGAATCTTTGGTGAGGGTACCTGGAAATCCACATTGTTGGTTTTTTTTTAAAGATTTTGTTTATTTACTAATGAGACACACACACACAGAGGTAGAGACATAGGCAGAGGGAGAAGCAGGGTCCCTGAGGGGAGCCTGATGCAGGACTAGATCCCAGGACCCTGGGATCATGACCCAAGCCAAAGGCAGATGTTCAACCACTGGGCCACCCAGGTGCCCCCAAATCTGTGTTTTTATTAGTATCTAAGAGATATTGATGCTAATATGAGAGCCACTGATGTGTCTAAATCTCCATGAATGGGGGCCTGGTCAGGGAAAATAACTTTCCCTAATTTACTAGGCACATTAGTGGTACACCCACTCTGATTTTTGAATCCCATTAAACTCCATGCCCAGTTATGTATGAGCTTCTGTTCCTGGTTGTGATTTGGAATTTCTCTTTAACACTCTGTGTCCCAAGAGGCCCAGTGAGGACAAATGAATTCAGAATTCCTTAAATAAGAAAAGATAGGCTTGACAAAGAGAATGTGATCAGATTCTTTTCGGGCTTGGGCACATGGAACCTATCTCTCCTTGCCTGTCCTACCTACTACCTGACCCTCTGCTTGATATTGCCTGCTCCTTAGGACTTGCTGTGTCTCATTGCACTGTAGTATCTATTTCCCTCCTACCTCTGCTTGTTCTGCTGTTGTTCCTCACTGGCATTTGAGACTACATTTCTTATTGATGTTTGGGGATGAGGACTATTAGGCTGGAGGCAGGGCAGAAAGGTCTGTTGGACCTGGTCTGAGCATCAATGATGGCAGCAAATGGTCACCAATGAATTGTCTGCTTGCTACCAAAGTGTCTGATTTCTCATGACACCTTGAGATTTCTAGTGGAGTGTTGATGCAACCCTCTCCTTCACTCTCCAAGAAGCTCAACTTGAAGTTATCAAGAATTTGTCAGTATGCTGGCTTGTCATATCCTCCTTGTTCATATCATCCATACCCTCCTCCTACCCTCCTTGCTCTTCCTCAACCTGTAGAGATAGAAATCTTTAAGATATGTGACTCCCAGATGTGGACAAAAATTTCCGAGGTCATCTGTTGATCTCCTCACTAGTTCTTCAATGCAGGTGACACTTGTATTATTCTGGATTCAAGGGTTGGAAGAAAGAAAACCAGCCAGCCATGAGACTGATGCAACAGTCGTGTAGTATGTAGGATGGTAAGAAAGGAAATTATTTTGGAAAGGAAGAAGGCATTTGAACAAAAGGCTGAAGCTGATGTCAGCTAGAGCTGTGGAGCTGGCTAAACCTGGCCCCAGCCAGCCTGACTCTTCTTGTCATGCAGGTGAGCCCAGCCTGGGGGCAAGCCCAGAGTCCATCACATGCCCATTCTTCCCTAACACAAACCCCACCTTCTGAACAGCCTTCCTCTCCCTGGTACTCCCACCATCTTTATCCTGTTCTTTAAAAAGCCATCAAAGGGGGATCCCTGGGTGGCTTAGCGGTTCAGCGCCTGCCTTTGGCCCAGGATGTGATCCTGGAGTCCTGGGATCGAGTCCCACGTCAAGCTCCCTGCATGGAGCCTGCTTCTCCCTCTGCCTCTGTGTGTGTGTGTGTGTGTGTGTGTGTGAGTGTTTATCATGAATAAATAAATAAAATAAATAAAAAGCCATCAAAGTCAAGTCTTATCCAAAATATATTTTATGTGAAAATTCAAGAGTTGTACATACATAAATATTCAGTTCTATAATAACATTATAGTTTCATAGGGACATCCCCTCTTAAAAATTAAATATATGTATATTTGCATTGATTCTTGCAAGGATCTTCACAATACTATAGTGAGGTAGAAAAGAGAGCATCCTTCAGTTTTTAGGGGGCTAAAGTGATGTGATATATCCAAGGGTTTACATTTAAAACACATCCAATTCCAGAGCACATTAAATTAAAATATTAACAACTTAGAAGACATAAAACATTACTTAAGAAAACTGTGGTTCACATTATTGCACAAATCTCATATTCCTTAGAATTGTAGTAGAATAATCTCAGAAGGTATGTTGGAAAGGATAGGGAATATAAATTGTTTCCTGGATACTGGCTTGGCTTCATTGTGCGCATGACTGTTCACAGCTTTGGGGCTTGGGTTTTCTTGTCCAGGTACTTCATGTGATCCTGGACCCACTTCTGGTTGGGGTCAGCACAGATCTCCTTAGCCAGTTTGGTCTTGAAGCTGTGGGAAGAGAGGGCATTTATTTTTTTTTAATTTTTATTTATTTATGATAGTCACACAGAGAGAGAGAGAGAGAGAGAGAGAGAGAGAGAGAGGCAGAGAGAGAAGCAGAGAGAGAAGCAGGCTCCATGCACCGGGAGCCCGACATGGGATTCGATCCCGGGTCTCCAGGATCGCGCCCTGGGCCAAAGGCAGGAGCTAAACCGCTGCGCCACCCAGGGATCCCAAGAGAGGGCATTTAGATGGAGTGCTTGAAGATTCAACCTGGTAGTGTAACCCACTTTATGGCCGGCCCATTAGCTTGTGGTGATGGAGGTCCTCTAACTGGCTAGCCCATTAGCCTGGGGTGATAGGGGAGGAAGGAAGGAACCTCAGGTGAAGCAGCTGCTTTTGCTGCCCCAGGTAAAACCATCTTGTCTCCTGGATGAAGGAACTGACATCTGAGCTAACGCCTGGACAAAGAGCTATAAATGGGAAGTCTCTATTTTCTTGAATTTACTTTTCCCATAGGAAGATTTCTAGGATTAGATTAGAGATGGTCTAAGCACCTGAGGGTTAAATTCCAACTCAGTCTGATAATAACCCTATCCACTGCCTGGGAGCAAAACTCAAGACTAAGTGTTGAGTGCGGGTGGTTATGGCTTCACTCACATCACAGCTTTCCGGGGACAATAGCTGCTGGTGATTCTTCTGTAGCTCTTCAGCCTCTGGATGGGGATCTTCTTAGTGGTAAATCTATAGCAGCAGGTGGTTGAGATATTAATCCCATCTGTTGAAACAACAACAACAAAGGCTATTTAGGGTGTGTGCTGGGACTTTCTATTTATAAAGGAGGGAACGGTAAGGAGGAGAGTCAAAGGAAAGGGAAATCACCCACCCTAAGTCCTGTGTTTCTGCCATAAAACTTTCAGTCTTACTGGCATGGACTGTAAAACGGAAGGATACGACTGCTAATTGAGAGGAGAAGAGAAACTGGCGACAACTCTGGGTTGTTGTTAGGAGGGGCTCATAGAACAGTCTAATCCTCAGGACAGGGTGACCGAAGCTATGGGTCCCCCTCTAGGCCCTAAGCAATCTATGCCTGGTCGTTGAGTCTCCCTAATATCCACTGCCTCTGCAGAGCCCTGTCTCTGGATGCTGGACTGAATGAAGCACAGTTCAGATTCTTGTCTCCTCCTTTCCCCTCCACCACATCTGGAAATACTCTGCACACCCTCCACCAGAGGCCCCCTCTTTTGGATCACCCCAGTTCCCCAAACACCGCTACAAGGACCCAAGGTAGTATCTGCACTAGGGGCATGAGCGCAGAGCTGGAACCCCGGAAGGGACTGGATTTGGTGTCCATGGCTGAAATTCCCAGGAGCACCTGTGTGATCAGTCTTCCTCCTTGTCCTTCTCTGACTTTCCTGATCTTGGAAGTGGAACTGTGGGTGATGCTCCTGCTCTGGTGGCCCATGAGAAGCCAGAGATGTGGTGATGGGCTTCAAAACAAAAGAGAGAGGGGCTCACCTGGCTGGGTGAGCACCTGGGTGGTGAGGGCGGCGGCTGTGAGCAGCAGGCAGAGGAGCGCTGCGGAGACCTTCATGTCGGTGGAGAGCAGGGAGTTTGGATGTGAGAGCTGGAGGTTTCTGGGTTGTCTCAGCCTCTCTGCTCCTCTGGCCCCTCTGGCTGCTCTGCCTGCCTTTTATTCGAGCAAACAGGAAGAAAGTGAGTGGGTGACAGGAGTTCGTTCTAAATGAATCACAGGGTGGAATAGTACATCAGCTGAGCCATTGCCCTGCCCTGGGGAAGATATTAGGAAATGAGAGAGAAGGCGTGATTGATGTTGGCCTGCTTGCCATCCAAACTCAGGGCTGGTATGTGAGGTGTGGGCTATGCCCAGGCAGTATGTGATCTATGACTCTTACTAAGGGTTCTGCTTTTTTGAAAAGAAACACTTTATATGGAAAAAGAAAGGAAGTAGGGTTACCAAATCAAAGAGATGTAAGGGATTTCCCCAATTTTCCTCTCAGATACCATCTCAAGGATGACAGCGTTCAGAGAAAGGCAATAAAATTTTGGCTGAGCTTTAAAATGAACTAAAACCATCCTTTACTGCTTTAAATCCTGTTGGCTTTTCTAAAACCCAAAGAACACAATAATAGAACATTAGCAGAAAAAAAATAGAACATTAGCAGAAAAATAGATTTCAGTATTCTTAGAATAAAACCTAAAATTGTAGCGTCTATTCTAGTAATCAACTGCTGTGTAACAATCCATCTGAAAACAGTGACTTAAAGCAAGAGCAATCATTGATTTTACTTTTGGATATGGTACTTGACTGGCCTCAGCCAAGAAGTTCTTGCTCATGATTTGTTTTTGTTTTTGTTTTACATCTTTGCCGTGGATGATGGCTGGGATTGGGGTCATCTCAAGGCCTTTACTCAATGTCAGGTGTCTGAGCTGAGAGGTCTTAAATAGCTGAAGACTGGAACAGGTGGAAGTTTCTCTCTCCACCCCTGTCTCTCCAGTGTTCCATCTACATAGCTGGATATGGGTAGTTTACATGATGGTTTAAGGCTCCCAGGTGCAAAGTTAGAGAACATAGATCACATCTCTTAATTTGAGGAACATAGAAGAATTCTCAGACATATTTTTAAATCACTATCTGTTTCATAGGCTCTCTGAACCATAAGGCACATAATAAGATCATGGAATATTACTGTGGTTTTTAAAATATCTGATTACCTAGAAAAATATTATTTCAAGTAAAACAATAGAAGTGAAGCCAAATTTATGAACAGAATCAAAGTGAACCTGCTTAGTTTGAACCAGAGACAGGACTCTTCACATCCCCTCCTCTCACATATATTTCAAGGATCAAAAGACTAGATATTGAAAACCAGTTATCTATTCACCCCTCTTTACATGCACATGCTACAAGCCCATCAGTCAATTGCTGATGATGTTAATGAAAAAGGGGCTTGATGAGAGGTCCTTAGCTTTGTCTATCTTTTTTACTGTTTTTCAGTCCTTATTTATTTCCACTCTGATCTTCATTATTTCCTCCCTTCTGCTAACTGTTGGGCTAGATTTGCCTTTTTTCTGGTTCCTTGAGGTATAAAGTTAGGTTTTTAAAATTTGAGATCTTTCTTTTTTCTTCCTTGTCTCTTAAGGTTTTGGCTTAAGGAATATATTGTCTGCTAAAAGCACAGCTACTCCTGTTCTCTTTTGTTTTTTTGTGGGTTTTTAAAAGATTTTATTTATTTGAGAAAGAGTGTAGGAGAGAGAACATGAGTGGGAGAGAGGAAGGGGCAGAGGGAGAGGGAGAAGCAGGCTCCCCAGTGAGCAGGGAGCCCCATATAGGGGGGCTGGATCAAGCACCTGGGGTCATGACCTGAGTCAAAATTAGATGCTTAACAGACTGAGCAACGCTGGAGCCCCACTCCTGTTCTTTTTTGGTTTTCACTTGCATGGAATATCTTTTCCATCCCTTCACTTTAAGCCTATGTGTGTCTTTCAAGTTGAAGTGAGTCTCCTATAGGAGCATATAGTTGGGTCTTTTTTTTTTTTTTTAATCCATTCAGCCACACTATGCCTTTTCTGGAGAATTTAATCCATTCACATTTGATGAATATTAATAGGTAAGCACTTGCTAATGGCCATCTTACTGTTTTCTATTTTGTAGTTCCCTTGTTCCTGCCTCCCTCTCTTGCTGCCTACATTTGTAAATTGATCATTTTCCATAATGGAATGCTTTGATTCCTTTCTCTTTCTCTTTTGTGTATCTATTCTAGGTGTTTGCTTTGGGGTTACTGTGAGGCTCACATAATACATCTTACAGATACAACAGTCTATTTTATGCTTATTGCTTAACTTAGACTGCCTACAAAAACTTTACCCTTTTATCCCTCCTTTTAGGTTTATGTTACAACTTAACCTCTTTTTCTATAGTGTAACCATTAACAAACTATTGTGGCTATAGTTATTCTTAATACTTTGTCCTTTAACCTTTATAGTGGAGTGTTTAATATTGTAGTACAGTATTAGAGTATTCTGAGTTTGAGTATTTAATTCAGCTTTACTAGTGTGATGTGTATGTTTTCATGTTACTAATTAGCATCCTTTCCTTTCAGCTTGAAAAACTCCTTTCAGCACTTCTTGTAAGGCAGGTCTAGTGGTAGTGAAGTCTCTCATCTTTTGTTTGTCTGGGCAAGTCTTCAAATTTCCTTCATTTCTGTAGCCCAACTTTGCCAGGTAGAGTGTTTTGGTTGGCAGTTTTCTTTTCTTGGTGGTTTGATGATGTCATACCGCTCTCTCTCTATTGTAAAGTTTCTGCTGGTAAATCCTCTGACTACCTTCCGGGGGTTCCTTTGTAAGTTACAAGTTTCTATTCTCTTCCCACTTTTAAGATTCTCTTTCTGTCTTTGTTTTTTTGACAGTTTTATTACAACACGTCTTTGGAGAAGAGCTTTTAAAGTTGAGTTTGCTTGAGGAATCATAAATTTCTCGTGAATTTGGATATTGAAATCTCTCCCCAGATTTGGGAGGTTCTCAGACATTACTTCTTTAAACAAGCTTTCTGCTCCCTTCTCCCTCTCTGTTCTTCTGGAACTCCAATAATTCACAGATTGTTTCTTTTGATGATATGCCATAGATCCTATAGGCTTTCTTTAGCCTTCTTCATTCTTTTTCCTTTGTTCTTCTCTGACTAGGTAGTTTCTTTCTTTCTTTTTTTTTAAAGATTTTATTTATTTATTCACAGACACAGAGAGAAAGAGAGAGGAAGAGACACAGGCAGAGGGAGAAGCAGGCTCCATGCAGGGAGCCTGACATGGGACTCAATCTCGGGTCTCCAGGACCACACCCAGGGCGAAAGGAGGCGCTAAACCGCTGGGCCACCGGGGCTGCCCTCTGGCTAGGTAGTTTCTAAGGGCTTCTTCACAAATTCTTTCTCCTTTTTGGTCCACTCTAGTGTTGATGATGTCTATTGTATTTTTCATTTCATTCATCATGACTTCAGTTCCAGAACTTCTTCTTTTTTAACGATTTCTCTCTCTTTATTAAACTTCTTACTTTGTTCATGTTTTGTTTTCCTGATTTTGTGGAAAGGTCTTTCTTTTCTTGTGGCTCATTGAGCTTCCTTAAAATGGTTATTTTAAATTCTTTTTTGGGTAAGTAATGGATCTCCATATCTTTGGGGTCAGTTACTAACACATTATTGTGATCCTTTGATAGTGTCATGTTTCCTTGAATTCTCATATTCCTCAAAGTCCTGTTTTGTTTCTTTAAATTTGAAGTAGAAGTGGTAGTCACCCCCCTCTAGCCTTTACAGACTAACTTCAGGAGATAACTTCCTTCCACCAGCCCTGCTAGTGATTTTGAGGCTTTCTTAGAAGTTCTGCCGATACGTCTGTTCCCTGCCTCTTGCTTCCTCTCGTGACAGATTTCTTAAACTTGCATGCATTTTCTTAATCCTGCAACACACCAGGCGGAGTGCTAACAGTCTGTCTTGCTTCCTGAAGGGCAGAGCTAATCCTTATGTTTGTGGTCTCTCCCTGGATCACAGCTTCAGGTGGCTTTTTTGCCTGCCCACTAGCTGTCTGTCAAAGCTTGCTCTTCCCTTTGTTGGGAACACTAATAGGGAGGCAGCTATAGATTGGGGATGTTTGGGTGAGGTTCATGGAGTACTGAGGTGCCCATGGACCATTTAGGGGGATCTATGGGTGAGACATCTCCAGTGGCTTGTGAGCAGGCTTTTAATGCAATTAGTAAGATCTACACCCCTTGAATGCCTTCAAAGTCTTCTTTTTTCTTTTTTAAGATTTTATTTATTTATTCATGAAAGACACACACAGAGAGAGACAGAGACATAGACAGAGAAGCAGGTTCCCTGCAGGGGGCTCCATGCTGGACTCAATCCTGGAATCCCGGGATCAGGACCTGAGCCAAAGGCAGATTCTCAACCACTGAGCCACCCAGGTGTCCTGCCTTCAAAGTCTTATCTGCTGTTCTGTGGCTTCTTCTTGCCCCCTCAGTATGCAGATCAATGAGTTAGTACTTTGGATGAGGCAAGAGACAAGTGGATCTCTTTGGCAGCTTCCACTTAGCTGAGGAGTTAGGGAAACTGATCTCAGTGCTCTCACTTTCCCCACAGGAGAAATCACAGGCAGAGAGGGTCTCTTCTGGCACTGATCTGTGCCACTTTGGGGAAGGAGTGGTGTAGGTAATGTCAAAGTGTTCTTACCCTCACCAATGCAGCCCTACTGACTCATTTTAAACTTCTATACTCCAGAACTAAAAGGTAATATTTTTGCATTGTTTTAAGCCATTAAGTTTCTGATAAATTGTTACAGTAGCAATAAGAAACTAATAGAAATTTTGATACCTGGAAGTGGGGTGCTGCTATAACACATACTAAAAAATGTAGACGCAGTTTCGGAATTGGGCATTGGGCAGAGGATGAGAGAAAAAGCCTAGACTTTGAGTATGATAGGAAAAACCTAGATTTCCTGGAACAGACTGTTGGCAGCTACAGGAAATGAATATACCGCACTTGGCATTCCTTCTTAAATGAGGGCCTATTGCCAGTGCTTCATGCTCATAGTTTCATCATGCAAAGTGCAAGGACTCCCATGCTTAGCTGAAGAAAAAA